CTCTCTCTCTCTTGCTCTCTTTTCACACTCTCTCTCTATCTCTTGCCCTCGCTCGCTCCTCTCCCCCTCCCCTCCCTCCCTCCCTCCCTCCCTCCCTCACCACACACGCACCTGACGTGAGAATGCTCGGCCGGTCCTTCTTCGGGAGACTTCCGAAGCCGCTGCTCCCGGACGCGATGCTTCCCGAGCCGCCCGTGCTGTCCGTGCCGTCTCCCTTCTTCGTCATCTCCAGCTGCTGCAGCATGTCGGCCGGCAGCTCCCCCGGCAGCAGCAGCGCTGGCTTCACGCTCGCACTGAAACGCAGCCGGAGCGGGACGATGTTTAGCGTACAATCGTGAGGGTAGCGGGAGAGAACCGGGAGCAAGTCACGTACGTTACGTACGCATGTACGCTTACACGCACAACTAGCCACGTGAAAAGTACGGCTATTCCTAGCCAACACCCCAGAGTAGCTTTACCTTTTTCGGTTTACCTTTTTAAAACTTTTTTTTCTAGCCACATGATACATGCCATCGTATGACACCCGCGTCACTATTCTCATAGATTACAGATATACTAAGAGATATACTACAGATTAACAGATACCCCTCACTACCTCACTAGCAACACCCCCTCCCCCAACCTCCTAGCTGCCAACACCCTCTCCCCCATCACCACCTACAGCAAGCACCCCCACCACGCCTCACCACATCTCACCACCCCTCACCACATCTCACCACATCTCACCACCCCTCACCACATCTCACCACCCCACACCACCCCTCACCACCTCTCACCACACCTCACCACCTCTCACCACACCTCACCACACCTCACCACATCTCACCACCCCTCACCACCCCGCACCACCACCCACCACCCCTCACCACCACCCACCGCGCGCGCGGCTCACATTTTGAAGCAGTGGTCGCCCGACAGCAGCGTCATGTTGATTTTGATCTTCAGTATGGAGTTGTCCTGCCGACGCTTGCTGTCGTATCCCTCCAGCAGGTAGCGCCGCGAGATGGTGCCGCAGCCGGCGAACTCCGCGAGGTTCACGTCCGCGTAGCCGAGCTTCTGGAACGCCCGGCCTCCCTTCATCTCCTGCGAACATAGCAAGGAACAACACGAGCGATGAGTTAACGATGACGTAAGCAGTGAGTTCACTTCTGGAACGCCCGGCTTCCCTTAATCTCCTGCAAACATAGCGAGGAACAACACGAACGATGAGTTAACGCTGAAGTAACGCACACGAGGGATCCTAACAACATAAACTCGCGTAGAGTCGAGCCTGCGTTAGTCCGGTTCACCCTGAACAAGATTGCATATTAGTTATTGCAAATTAGATAAGAAACAAATTAAGTTAGATGCCTTGTAATTTTTAACATAACATAGCATATCAGTTATTGCATATTACTATTAGATAAGACAAGTAGCGTCTGTACGGCACAACAAATACATCGCCGTATAGAAGCAAATGTGATATCATAGGAAAGCTGATCAGAACGAACATTGAAGGACGCTTTTAGCAAATTCCCCGAGTGGCCATTATGAGGCGAAATCACTTTTGTTAAACCAGACACCTGTCTAATAGTGTCTATAAAGGAGACTTTTGACATTTCTCCTGAGTGACCTTTAAAAGGCTATCGTCATATCGGCCTCACATAACGGCCACTAGATGTCAGCACAGCACCGTGTCGAGTGCAGTGCACTGCAGCTTTTACTGCTGTTCTGCACTTTTTACTTGGAAGCATCTCGGGAGGTGTGGAAATAAGTCTGGCAGCCACTCAGTAATATCCAAGCGCAGCTTGCGTACAGTACGTTCAAGTGTTGCACCAATATAACCACGATATTATTAAAATGACGTGGCGCTGATCTTTGAACTCGCGATGAGTGGCGAAATCACGAGCATTCTACTCATACCCCGGTAGCCATATATAGTCATCTTCAAAATCAGATTTAAATCCTCAGGACCTGTTTTAATTAAATTAATTAAATTAAAATAAATTAGGATCCCGTTAGACATATATAATATCAGGAGTTAATAATGATAAATTTGTCATTATTAACTCCTGATAATATTCAGTATATAACATATCAGTTATTACATAATAGATAAGACAAGTAGCTTCTGTTTGGCAGAACAAATACATCACCTTATAGAAGCAAATGTAATACGAAAGCAAACAGTGAGAGTCGGTATATTTTATGCCATCAGGAGCGTATAATGACAAATATTTGTCATTATACGCTCCTGATGTCATGTAATGTAATATTTTCGCTTTTCTATCGCGCGTGTTTGCCTCGCTACAACCGAGTGTGCGGATAAGACACCATGACTACATACACAGCCGTGTTCAGAATTTCTGATTAATTCACTTAGGCAACGTTGCGTTATTTTTAACATCGCACCAGTCTTTGCGCATTTGCAGAAACTTGTCAGTACAGGCGCTAACGCTTCTCAGTCCCCATCCGATAGTTTGAGATTCATCGAGGCAACGTTGCGTTTTTGTAACATCGCACCAGTCTTTGCGCGTTTGCAGACTTTCCAGCCAGCAGTAGCAGCAGCAGGTTTCTTTGTTGTCACTCTACATCTCTACGTTATGCAATACGACTCTGTACTTTTGCTACGTTGCACAGCACTCGCGCTAACTAGCACTAACCCTTCTTACAGAGACTCGCCAGCCAACACTCGCGCTAACTAGCACTAACCCTTCTTACAGAGACTCGCCAGCCAACACTCACGCTAACTCGCACTAACCCTTCTTACAGAGACTCGCCAGCCAACACTCACGTTAACTCGCACTAACCCTTCTTACAGAGACTCGCCAGCCAACACTCACGTTAACTCGCACTAACCCTTCTTACAGAGACTCGCCAGCCAACACTCACGCTAACTCGCACTAACCCTTCTTACAGAGACTCGCCAGCCAACACTCACGCTAACTCGCACTAACCCTTCTTACAGAGACTCGTCAGCCAACACTCACGCTAACTCGCACTAACCCTTCTTACAGAGACTCGCCAGCCAACACTCACGTTAACTCGCACTAACCCTTCTCAGACACGTTCATAGTTTTCCATTCACCAAAGCAACGTTGCATTTTTAACATCATCGCAACGTGCTTGCTGAGACTCGCCAGCCAACACTCGCGCTAACTCGCGTGAACCCTTCTCACGCTCAAGGAAGTAAATATAATTATATTTATTATTATTATATATATATTATAATATAATTATATATTAATAAATATAGTTATATTTAGCCCCTTGCTCACCCTGATGTCACATGTGCGGCACATGCGCTGCAGGCGACCGAGCAAACGATCTCATTAACGACATCATGTAACCAGGATGCACAGCATCGTGACAGCAGCAGCAATAGCGCTGCCGCAGACGACCTGTGAATCTGAAGCCCACAAATTAAGATCGTTAGCCGCGCTCGCGATCTCGATCGAGTACATGTGCGAGGCAGAGGCTTGCACCGTCTCTGCGGGATGCGGATCCACCACGCAGATTCTCGCTTCATCTGATGCCACACTGCTGCTGCTGTCAGCGTCGCTGCTGCTGCTGCTGCTGGTCAGCGTCGCTGCTG